GGTCTCCTGTGATTTTTATCAATTGTACAACTCTGGGTCATATAAATAAAGACTAAATTAATAGTTTGTACAAATTTCCCACCCAGAGTCTGATTATGATTTGGATGAAAATATATCTAGCTAAGTGGGATTAAATCAAAGCAGAGAATTTGAAAAAGTGCAAAAGGCTCAGGGGGTTTAGTTTCTTACCAATAGCTGCACTGCAGTCCCAAACATAGCATGTGCATACTTAAATGACTAATATCACTGTTAATTGTCTGGCAGCATCTATTTTCTTTAGGGGCAAATTGACACCGCCTGATAAGTCTGCCAAATTGTTTGAAAATCCCTGATGCAGGGAATGAAAGCTGTGTTCCAGTGCACAGGATATAAGGAAGGTTATGCTAAAGTTGATAAAAGTAAAACAAGAAAAAAGGAAAGGTATATGAGGAGACGATGTTTTGTCCATGGGGCTTTACCCAGTCCTTATGGAGAATGTACCACAAAGTTTTAGCAGTATGTGCTATTTCTAGCCTGCAGTTTATGAATAGGGCTTTCTCTCCTGCTCCTACATCTTCATTTTGCAGACTGCATGCTAAAGCATCAGCAAGCTTGTTCGCTTTTCACTCTGTATGCAGACTCAGAACAAGCTGTCCAGCAAACACAAAATTCTCACAAATGATGAGAGTCACTGCTTTGGTGTTGGTGATTGCTTTTGCTGATGGCTGGGCTGGCTCTCAGATTTGGTTGGCCTACCTTGCGTGTCCCATGCAGACTGTGTGGGAGGGGATGCCTGCGTGCTGCCTGGTTTCTACCTCATTCAGAAGGCTGGCACCGAATGCCCAAATGTTCACGCACAAAAGTACGTGATTATGGAAATGCTGGATTGCGTGTGAGGGGAATTCTGCTAGTTTGTTTCTCAGAATTTATATTTTGCCTGCTTTTGTGTGAGATTTCAAAAGCGTTTTGGCTGAATACATGGGGGTTTTTGTTTGTTTTCTCATTGCACTGATTTTCTTTTCCAAGAGCTATTTTTTCTTTCAATAAATAACAACAAAGAAGACGGCCAAGGCCTACAATGCAGATGATCAGCAAGGATGATATTGTCATCCTGTGTCAATCGGTTCAGAGCCTGGTGAAATAAACAGTCTCTTGGGAACGTCAGTGCTTCATCAAGACCAATTAGTGGAGATGCCGCTGCTGCTTATGTTTAAGCATTAACGACTGGGCAGGGCTGCGTTTTGGAGTGCCTGACACTGGCATGGAACAAGGCACCGACCTAATTACTTCTCTACAAGAGCAGAAAATGCCTCGTGAATGCCTGCTTGGCAAGGATGTCTCATTAAGGGGAAAAAACCCATCACAAGCACTCCTAGAAACAAAAATTAAAATGATAGGTAACCTGCGGCCATGGGACTTACTTCATGACTGTGGGAAATGAAGAGAAAGTTACACAAGGTGATATATAGATGTATAAGGGCTTCTTTGTACTTTGTTTCCTCAGTCTCTATTTTTTTAGTCAATAAGGAGTATGAGAGTCAGAATGCAAGCTTGCATTGTTGAAGAATAGTGAAATATGTTGCCACCTCTGGTATCAATGTTAAATAGGATTTGAAGGGCATTCCCAAGTTGATGTCTTATGAAAGTTGTTTTATTAGTCTATTCCTTCAGGGTTTGCAAACTTGCCTAGGAAATCAAGCATTTGGTAGACCTGAGTGAGGAGCTGACAATGAGGAACTTAAAATATATAGCTTCTCTTTCTGCCTAAAGATGACCAAGAAGCAAACTGTGGTTTCCCTTTTCAAGAGTGTTGGCTAGATATTTTCAATCACAATAGTTTTGTTAAAATAAAACCAGAAGAGTAAGCGGAAATAGCTGCTCAGGTGTTTCTTTTGTCCTGAGCAGCTCTGTTCACTGCTGAGTTTTATGTGCTTCTTTTTGCCTTTATTTTTCTTTTCCTCTAAAGAGTGGCAGCAGATATCAAAAATTCAAAGTGTGCTCCTTAATTGTGATTTGTGAGATAAATAACATGCCTCTACTTCTTTTCTTTGACTGGATGAGCACACACTCCTAAATACTGAGGTCCATTATTCATCCAGGGAGTGGGTGCAGCACAAATACTTACATGTCAGGCTTTGCCCAAAAGGCACATTTTGGGCAAGCTAGCTCTGAAAAACTATTTACGTGGTAGTGCAGGAACAGTTAAGCTTTCTAGGTAAAGACGGATCTAGAGTTTTTGCAGATATGCACATGGTTTTTCTTGAGATGTGCCTTTTTTTGATAGTCACCAACTTATCACAAAATGCTGAGTTGTTTAGATGGCTTCTGGATTGAATGCGTTCCTCAGGATGGCCATGTGGATGCCACATGATCTTGACCTGTGTATTTCTTTGTTCAAGTGTGGCCCTTTACCTTACTCACTCCTGATTTGCCTATCTTACTTCACAGAATGGCACAGAGAAATGAAGTGATCAACAGCTGAACAGAAGAGTACCTGCTACCTGCTAAGGTGTAGGTGGCCTTAAACACTGTAAGATGCTTAATGCTACTTCTTAAATGCAAGAGCCTGAGTCTCTGAGTCTGCCTCTCTCCAGACAAGTCATTTTTTCTCGAAAACTGGGATAGAGATCTTTTCTTTCTTTGAGTTCAGTGGACAGCACACTCACACAGCAGGTCCTAAACTCAGTTGTTCGAAGCCTCTCGCTTTCAAAGGCAAAGAAGCACAAGGCTTTTTTAAAGCTGTTGCCAGGCTCTAGCAGAGAGCAATGCTGCAGGCACAGGTTTTCAGGGACAGGGGCACAACTGGCTGTGCTTTCTTGGGTCATCACTTGTTTGTCTTGCCTGTGGTGCAGCAGCACATCCTCTGCTTCCAGTGGCATGATGACCACACAGTTGACATGGCAAGGTCTGTGGGTCTCAGGCAGTCTTTCTTTCTGTGACTCTCTTTCTTGCTGATCTCTGAGTGAGAATGTCAGCATGGTTGTGTTTCAATTTGCCTCACAGAAAATAGTCAAAATAATGTTTATATTGTGTGACAGCATGCCCTGAGACCTCATATAGCTGTGAAGTCGGGCAGCTTTAAGGGCTGTGTCTTACAAACTTTGCTTTGGTTAGACTTTTGCTTTTGTTGCTATTCTGCTGAAATAGTTCAGAGTCACGAATAACTAGATTTGTTTGAAGTGGTCAGGTTTCTCAGTGAGAAATGGAGGATTCAGTGTGAACCATCTACTTGCCTTTGGATCTGTGTGCAGCAGCAACTGCATGATTTCAGTATTCAGCTGTTGTCTCAGTTTCTTACTGTATCTGACTCACTAGGATACCCCATAATGTAATGTAAAATAGAAGTGTACCAAAAATCAGTTATTTATTCAGTTTTTACACAGTTCTCATTTAGCATTAACTTCTATAGACTGTAATTGTTGTAGTTTCAGAAAGAAATACATAAAATGTGAAAGACTTCTGAATTTGGCCCTGTATGTTTCCTTCAAAACAAGACTTCTGAACATAATCAAATAGTGCATAGAGAGAGAAAGAGTCAGGGAAATACAAAGGATAATTACATTGTTGTACTAGAGCTTGATGTTAAAGGCAGATACATAGGAATTGCTGTAGCAGAGCTCATTAAAAACTAATTGTGTTATGTAATAATGTGTTGTGGTTCTACAGTAGTTATCAGCTAAGGATCTTGGAGCCCTCTGCAGGCCCCACCTCATTCTGGCACTCCCTTCTGTGAGATGCTTAAATTCTGCCTTTTTTTTTCTTTAGATACGCAAGTAGAAATGGTCAAGCAAAATTTTTCCACAATTGCCTGTTATGTCCGAGTTACATCTGGAGCTGGAGCTGATAGAGCAGTTTATTTTCACCTCATCTTACTTCAACCATCACATAAACTTTTGCCTTTTTGTGCTGGTTTTTTCCCCCCAGTCATCTTGTAAAGAATCATTGCAGTATAAGGAAATGTGTCACTCAGTCACTGATGAAATTACTGCAAATTGGTTCGAAGAAATTTTAGACAGTGAAATCCTGGATGGTCCACTGGCAAAACAGAATGTACAATGAGTGGACATCTGCAAAGATCTCAGAGATCTCTTGTTTGGTACTCTATTTTCATTCTTGGATTGCAGGATGGAAGAGAATAGATAACCATGAAATTTTCAAACCTCTGAAAATTGAGAGGTACTGCATGTGTTGTGAAGATCAGGAATATAACGCAGAATGATTTTTGAGAATTGGAAAAATAGCTTAAAATGTAGAATTCAGTTCAATGAGGCTGGGTGGAAAGGATAAAATTCAGACAGATGAAGTACTCAAATCCATGATGGGAAGTAACTAGAAAGGCAGAAAAAGGACCTAGGCATTTCACTAGCTTTTAGCTTTTAGCTAGGCATTTCACTAGCTAATCCCCAATCAACAGTCTTCTCTTTTTGCAAAACAACCATGATGTCTCATAAAAAGTAAATATCTAGAATGTATAAACAGGTGTAGCCTGTGAGCTACTCCATTACGTGAAGAAACTGTATGATTATTCTGAGAATTGGTAAATACACTGCTGAAGTTTTGAACACTGCACTTCAAGAAAGATGTAAATTAAGTGGAGACAACTCATTGAAAATGTCAGTGAAAAAAAATCCTGTCTTGAAAATTTGTCTCACAAAGGAAAATTAGAAGAAATTTGAGGTAGTCTGTCTGAAAGGAAATACATCAGGGTGGACAGGGCTATGTGTGTAGTGGACAGGACAAGACAATTTGATAAAATTTTCTAACATTTTTAACATTTCTCTGATCAAAATTTTTGACATTAATGAAGTAGTATGCCTGTCAGGAATGCTACATTTCCCTAAACTGTGAGTGGAGGAAGGCTAGATGAACTTTTTTTAAACTGCTGCTTTTGATGATTTGTTATATCCCCATGCTAGTGTCCATGCAGCTAGTTAAGTGTGCTTTTGGAAGACAGTAGTCATGAGGATACTCCCCAGGCAAGTCACACTAACTTGCTATGTTTTGATTTGTTCTGCCATCAGGTCAAACTGGGAGGAGAAGCCCCTAACTCCAGTGTAATCCACATAGCCAAGGGCAGTGATGGTAGCAGTAGCAGCTGGAAGAATGTTGGTGGCAAGTGTGGAACCAAATGCCACCTTCTGGACTTTGCCAACTCTGAGCGGCCACTGGTGGTCAACTTTGGCTCAGCTACCTGACCACCGTTCACAAGCCAGCTGTCGGCCTTCAGCAAGCTGGTGGAGGAGTTCTCTGGTGTGGCTGACTTTCTGTTGGTCTACATCGATGAAGCTCACCCATCAGATGGCTGGGCTGCTCCTGGAATCTCTCCCTCTTCATTTGAAGTTAAGAAACACAGGAACCAGGAAGAGAGATGTGCAGCTGCTCACCAGCTTCTGGAACACTTCTCCTTGCCACCTCAGTGCCAAGTGGTGGCTGACTGCATGGACAACAATGCCAACGTGGCTTACGGGGTTTCATTTGAGCGAGTATGCATTGTGCAGAGACAAAAAATCGCCTACCTGGGAGGCAAAGGCCCCTTTTTCTACAACCTGCAGGAAGTTCGGCTTTGGCTGGAACAAAACTTCAGCAAAAGATGAAATCCATTCTCTACAGAAGCTATGTTAACAGATATGTCCCTTTAAGGAGATGCAAAAGGGAAAAAAAAGAGAACGTGTTGGTTTGAATAAAACCTTTCAGACGATCGCAGGAGAACACATTTGATAACAATTTCAAGTGAATGTTAATGAGGAAAAGAAAATTTAAAAAAATCTAGCTCCACAGAAACATTGTCTGAAAAAAAATCCCACTCCTGTGCTTGCTGTAGAACAGAAGAGGTGAACAAGCTTCTGTGAAAAGGTGCTGCTGGCAAGCAGGAAGAGTGGTGAGATAAGACCTGTCTCCCAGGAACACCTCTCATGATGTGTCAGCTCTGGGGTGAGCCAGAGGAAGCATTTCTGCTTGGAAGGCATTCCATGGAAAGGCAGTGCTATGCATTATTTCAGAAATGCTTCTTTAGCCCTCTGTGGCCAATGCAAAGAACCTGGGAGGAGCAAGAAGTTTGCAATTACTTGCATAGAAATGCAGTGGAGTGTAGTGATTGTCCTCTCTTGGTAGAGAAGTTATTGTTTAGGGACTGCGGGAACCACCATGCAATGCATAGCTCAGGCAGACTGGCTGCTCAGATCAAGATGAACCATTTTCTGCTGGTATTTGTACTCTCTGTGGACACCTCTGCACAGCATATTAACTATGTAATGCTACCTATATGTTTGTGTCTGGTATGCAGGCCTGTGCCTGCTGAGAAAGATGTTAAAATTTGTGGAGTTGGATCAAAAAGACAAAGGATATCCAATAAGCCCATTACCATTTGAAAACTAAAATAGTTAGACTATTTATAACAAAACATTGAGAACCATCTAGAGCATGTACCATGAGACAAAACTCAGATGATGTCAACCAAACCTGTGGTTCTCAGAGCTGACAACACACATTTAACAATATTCTCTGGTTCTCATCTCTGTTTCTTTACCCCACCTCCATCTGTTTCTCTCTAGCAATAGGCTTAAAGGTAATTTTTAGCTTCTAAAAAAATAACTTATTTCTCTCCTTTATTTTTATTTGAGATAATGACCTTGCAGGTGTATTTTGGGGATGGGGGAACTTATGCACAACTTTACCTCATTGAAATGGAAACCTATCCTGTCATTTACCCTGTTAAATGTAGTCATGCTGATTTTTGATATCTTAGATACCTGAAACTAGTTTATAGCTAGTTTATCTGAATATGATTATATGTTAGTTTATCTGCAGGTTAAGTTGTTTGTTGCCTTAGAATTGATTAGCTGCAGTTCTGCTAACAGATGAGCTGATAGTCTGTTTCACTCATGTTCTCAAAACCTTCCCAGAAGGGAAACAGGGAGGACAAATAGTGTGAATTAATGTGAATGAGTGTAAAAGGTGGTAGAATTGTCCTTCAAATGGATCTGAGGAATTAATCTTATGTTTAAAGAGATACTGTGAACTTAGAGTATGCATTAAGTATTTCTAAAACTAAAATAATTTGATCAAGCCTAATGAAAAGGCAGATTTACAATGAACTAACCCATTAGATCTGAAAAATGAAAACCCATATGGAAATGGACTATCCAAGCTTTCTCTCAACTTTGGCAGAAACACGAAACATATAAACAAAGTAAGTGGTGACTATCAAGTTAGTTCTTTTAATTTCTCATCCTACCCATTCTCAGGAATATGATGTGTTGACACACATAAATATTTCCATTTTCACAATGCCTATTAATATGGTGTATTTCTTCTTGCTAGGTTGTTAGTCAACATAGCCAATGTACAAGAAATTTGGAAATGTGTTTTCAAGCACAGATCTGAAATAATGACAGTAACATGGGTGATTTCTCCCATAATCAGATTCATGCTTCCCACCCTCACATTTTCCTCAACACACTGTTAAACATATACACACACACACAGTTTGGTAATGTGTGTCAGAGAAGGGTGTAAAGAATGATCTTCAGATCTCCTGGTGAGCCCCATTGCTTAGAAGGCATGCATCTCTGTGTGTGTATACATATGTATGCAGTTATGTATGCATCTGTATGTATATAATACATTTTTATGTAAGTATATACATATGCATGCACATATAAGTGGTGTCTAAGACCCTTTATAATAATTATTCTGTTCTCCCTTCACTATTAATACTGTAACTCACTACTCAGTGTGGAAGATTGTTATAGCTCTTCATGACTAACTGGGATATATAACTGAAATTTTTAAACCTAATATCATAGAAACAGTAATATAGCCCAACTTCATGGTTTATTTAATCCAGTGTCCTACCTCTGACTGTATCAGATGCTTCAGGGGAAGGTGCAATAGTTACTTACAGAACTTTCATTAGCTTCAGCCCTTATTATTTTTGCCTCTTCTAAAGTGATTGTTGATGTCTCATCATCCCTATGAGAGGCTGATCCTGAGTTTTGAAATTTAAATATTTTGTGAGGTGGAGGTTACTAAAGTGAAAAAACATCATGTTTAAGAACAAAGAAAACCAAAAGAAAACAGATTTTTTCTTTCAAATTTAAATTGACTGCTTTTCAATGTCATTCCCATCTCTTGCTATTATATGCTAAACCACCATAAACAGAAGTGATCCAAATTTTTCTTCTGTATGTCAGCCATTATAAAATATATATAGAAATTTATGTACCTTTTCTTTGTTTCTTAAGCCAAACAATAACTCATATTACAGGTCCATATTCTTTGCTTGTCCCTGAATCTCTTCTATTTTTGCTACACTGTCCTTTTACTTAGGTCAGTAAAGATATAGACTTTAATCCAAGTGAAAATATGTATTGATATACCCCGCACATCTTTTCCTTATATCCTATTCTTCAGTCATCTGAAACTTTCTTAATCCATAGCAGCTCCACAGCCTTTGTAAAACTTAAACTGGTCTTTTCTTTTCTCTTTTCCTCATTATGGTTTAAGTCTGAAGTGTTTGTCTGGGAAATGCTGGACAATAATTTAGCATGCCTTTAGTTCAGAGGAAAGAGCCTGAGTTAGAAATTCAATTTGTTAATACCCATTTGCATATCTAAAGTTACAATTATTTGTCAAGTCCATTTTCTCCTTTTGAATTTCCATTATTGTGTCCTGTAATTCATAGATGCCTGTTCATCACATAGTATACAGAAATTATAAAATTGGTTCCTATAATTGAGAAATGTACATTGCTTTTCCACAAGAAAAAGTGCACAAAAACTTAATTTCCTTTTTGGTAATATGGATTACTTTCCTACCTGAAACTTAAAGATAATCCAATCTCAGTGATTATCAAGACAGAAATAAAATTTGCAAATCCTTGAATTTTCCCTGAAAATTTCTGATCAAGAAAGTAAGTCTTTCTTCAAAGAGAAACGGGCTTAGAGGAAAGAGAAAAAAAGTGTTTTCTAAATGGCTGATAGAAACACAACTTTTTTTTTTTTTTTTTTTGACAATATTAAAACATTTTATGGAAAAGGTTTTAAACTAAACTTCATGAATTGTCCTCAGTTGATGATAAAAGTGACCATATGTCAGATACAAAAATTTTTGTAACAGTGGGTTGTTTTGAGTCCAGGCAGAAATTTTACTGCTTTGCAGCTAGTTCTTCACAGCTGGTCTAGTCTGCCGTGAGACTGGATTTACTTCTGTCTCTTATTCTCACTGTTTCAGGGCACTATATCATATTACTTGAGGTGCTTCAGTGTGACATACATATTGAGCGAAAGCTCACAAAATAGGTGCCTGAAAGTATTCTGGAAGGCTACTGTATATAATAGAGACTCCAATACTGTGTCTCAGCATTAGTATGGGGAACTTCCAGTACTTTTTCATTTTGAGCAAGGTAAAAAGCTATTCTGGATTATCATTTTACATTGTTCTCTGTGCTTAGCATCTGTATTTAGCACTGTATAAAAGGAATGTATAACGTTTTGTACGGATGACGATAGCATTTTGCTCTTTCCTTGTGTAGACAACGACATAATTTTAAGGCAGCAGGAAAACTTGCCCTGTTTATTAAAAAAAAGAAAATGTATTGTGAAGTATATTGTTGAACAGCTGTCTGAACACTGAAAAACAAAATTCAGTGATTTTTAGGAAGGTGATCTTGGTGGTGAAACCCACAAAGGTTCTCAAAAAGGTATCAGCGCTATGCATTCAGGCGTGTGTGGGAAGCTATGTTTCTGCGTCTGTGAAAGTGGCTTTTCTGTGATGTGGAGTATAGGTTTAAGAGTTTTTAAGACTTTCATTCAGTACTATAACCAAAGCAATAAGAGGTATCAGGTAGGGAATATTGGCCAGTTTTGTTCAAGTCGACACCGTGTCTGTGACAAAACCGTATTCAGTGACCTTTGGGCCCCATTCAGAGTCTTCGGAGAAGAGAGATTGGTGTGACACAAGGGAGGGTGGTGTGCTTATGAAGATCGCTAATAAAAGAGTGATTAACTCAGTTAGCGTTCAGATGCCCTCACACTGGCATTCCTCTGTGCACCTTGGAGTTTCTGTATTTGAAAGAGGGGTCTCTTTGGGTCTGTTAATAAGATTGCCATGTTGTAGGTCCTGTGTGTACTGACTATGTGTTTGTCATTGCTTAAATGTTAAAAATATACTTTGCAGGAGAGCCAGCAAAATTTTGTTACAATATGGTGCTCCATGAAATATGCTTTCTAGATTTGTTTTTCCTGTATTATAATAAACGATAAAGGAAAATATACCTTTTCTGTGACTTCTTATTTTAATACGGGTTGCTAATACAAAGTGAAATTAGACATTAGACCAAGGAAACATAAAACTGTATTTAATACAAAAGCCTATACCATCCTAACTAGATCTTAAGTAATAGAAGCAAACTCCTTTATACGTGGTGGGATTAATTTAATATCTGACTAATCTTCAACTTTTAAGAAAGATGAAGGGGAGGGAAACTGAGAGCTGCAAGGACTGTGGTTGAGTCTGCTCAGAACTGCACTGTTCAAAAAACATCTGCTTGAAGAAAGTATGCCAAGCTGTGTGTAGCATATGAAACCTGGACAAATCTGCTGTGAAGACATCAGCTTTAAATGCCACTCCCATTTCAACGTACAGACAAAAGATCAAAAATAAAATTAAACCCACAACTGAATAGCTGTTACAAGAAAAAAAAAATCAGATGGAATATGAGCAGCAGCTTCATAAATAAATTCAATTTGTGATTTAATTGTATTTTAGAAATTTCCTCCTCTTTGTTATCTTTTGTTATAAAAAATTTAATAGTACCCTGCATCTGAAAACTGCTTGTGAATATAGGTAAGAAAGAACGTAATAAATCACCAAAGGGAAGGCCATGGAAAAGGCTACATCCAAATGTCCCCAAGAGAAATTATCATTACAGTATAGTTTTACAGCCCTCGGAACAATCAAATAAACAACTCACTCTACATTATCTAGTTCACATCACAAAAATAATGCACAAAAGTACTGAAAGGAGACTTTTGAGATGTGAGAATATTCCTGTAGTCTAGCTGATAGTGATTACGACCTTTATATCAGTGGTTTCTATAAGGAGCTACTCAGTACTCTGGAAGAAATAAAAAGACCTTTCAGGACTTTCTTCTTATTTCACAGCTGCATAAATCAGGTGAAGGAAAATGTGATAAAATAACAGTTTTATTAGAAGATAAGATCATTAATAAATAACTTATTTAAAAAATCAGACCACTACCAAATATTTGTAACAGTGGTTTGTTTGATTTGTTTTTCTGGAATAGATTATGTTCATGGTAGAAGTAAAAAAAAGAAAATTTATTGTTTATAGAGCAATATTCTCAAGATGATTATACCGCTCAAGATCTTACTTTCTGACAGAGAATTCCCGAGACATAATAAACCTTTCCAAAATATAAACTTCAAGCAAAGGACCTAAATGTTGGTTGAAAACTTTAATCACAGACAAATCAACTCACTGTATATGCCTGTATGCTTCCAATGTTCATATTAGTAAATCCACCAGCTTAAGTGTGTCTTACAGAGCTAATGTGAAATGGAAACATATAGAGTGAGTATCCTGTTTAAATCCTTAAGGCCTAAAGATTTGTAAGCCTTGCTATGTGGCTTGACTAGAGAAGCAGAATCCTTTTAAGTCATATATATGAAACATATAAATACATCAAGTGTTTTAGTTCTTTCTAAGACAATGCCTATTATATAAAATTAAATAAGTAGTAAGCAGGAAAAAAATGGTCTCTGTAAATCAGTATTTCCCATATTTTGAATACGTGGATTTGTGTTATCCACAGAAAAGCTACCGTGACTTACCTGTTGGCTAGGTGTGCAGGTAATAAGAGGGGAAGTTTTCTTCAAAAAGTTATCTTCTTTAGGAGTTAATCAATCTTTGATGTCCTTTAACCCGATTCATTTTCTCTAATACCTATCCTGCACCTGATTTCCCATGTCTCTTTCCAACCTGTCATACCATTGGTGATGTTTCCCCCATTTCAGCCTTTGGTTTTGTGGAGTTTACTTAAGGCTACAGA